GAAAACTCACCAAAGCGAATGGTTATTCAGATTTTTAACTTCCTGATGAGGCCATCGTTAATGTGGTGCTTGGGGTAACAGCAGTGTGGCTGACATCGTGTTGCCTGGGTCCTAGAGTTGACATCCTTTGAGCTGCAGGATGATATGCAGAAGAGACCAACTCGGCTTTCCAGCCTCACAGCAATGTACTTTTAAAACAGAAAATACCCCCAAAATGATCTTGAGGAATGGGTGTCCAAATCTGTTTCTAGGCATCACATGCCAACGCACAGGTTTGGGGGCCTGCTCTTCCATGTTCTGTTTGGGAAACCTTGGCTGTGCGTGCTCTCTGCGTCGTGTTTTGTATGTCCTGGGTGAACGGTGATGGCTCTGTGATAGGAGAAGGTGAAAACTGATTTTCCCTTTCCTGTCTTTGTGCATGCCACTGAATACAAGCTAGCTGATTCTTTCCAGCATGTCTCAGTCAGCTGTAGCACACATATTACTGAGTGCATGAATCTTTTTAGAACCTTTATGGGATTAAAAATTCATGCTTGGGGAGGGGCCTTGTAATTCTGAACTTTTTAACGCACAAAATGAGCAGATTGAAACTCACTCTTTCATTTTATCTTTTAGATCGAGTCATATGTAGAGTGTTGTGAGTCTGTGAAGCACCTTAGCAGTTTCTTTCACTCTTCCTAGAAGGCCAGGTGTCACAGGAAAACTTCACGGTTTTGTTGCAAGAATTAAGTGGCATCCAGAAACGGCAGCTGATTACCGACCTTCTGCTGAGTGGATGGCAGCACCATTAAAAATGTAATATTTCAGAAAGTTTATTTTATTCTCACAGTGTCCCTCTACTCGTGGCTTTTCCAGTGTGATATTTGAGTTTATCTAAAGAGCGTGGACCTACCAAAGGCTGTTTGTGTGGTGGGCACAGTAAAAGGGAACAAGCTGCTGCTGTTCACGAGGAGTAAGTCTCTGCAGAGGAGCTGTTTGAGTGGCGGTTCTCTTAGATTTCATCTGTTTAAGGTTTTGTCAGAATCAAAGCTCCTCTTCTAAAACAGGGCTCAGGCAGTGTGTTGAGTTTGCCCCCACAAACTAATGCTTAGGCAGGCGGGGTTTGTGTTTGTCGCTGGGACACGCTCTTGCTGGGTGCTCTAACACTGTGTGTGCTGATTTCTCTGTGGCTCTTCAGGGACTCGGATTAAGTGGCTGTGTAAGAATTTGCTGGAAAATGATAAACTGTCTTTTGTGTGCTGGTGAAAGAGGTTGTAAGGAGAGACTGCATCATCAGAAATTGGATGCTCCGAATCCAGAGTATGTGAATTTTAACCAATCTTGCTAATTTAGTCCTCTGAAAATATCTCTGGAAGCAAACACTGAGCAGTCTGTACGCAGCATGTGGGAAGCATGTTCAGTTGCATGCTCCAGGCACAAAACTGTTGTTTTTAAGTAGCGTTGGTTTAGTATCTGACCACTTTGTCTTGCAAAATACATTCTTGTAACACACTTCCGAGCTACTTAGTATTTCCTTTCTACAGGCAGGAAATTATGGCAAAGAAACACCACCTAAACTTATGAAAGTGTCTTTGATAATTGAGAAGAGACCTCGATTTCCCAAATTCCTTAATCATAAGTTAACCCGTGCTGCTTTTTTATTAGTCCCTGATTCATATAGAGCCAACAGATTACCTGCAAGTTTCTGTAACGTGAAAAGGAATTAGAACCTGGGGCCAAGTAGAAGAGATCAGAACTGCAGTTTCCATTTACATGCAATTTGAGGTGGGAAGCAGTGAAAAGACTTACCCAGTGATGCACATGGTATCAGAGAAGGTTTTTAATATCAGAGTACAATTTCCTGCAGCCTTGTAACTTACTCTGTGATTAGTTTTCTTAGTAACAAAGTAAAAAAACTCTTTAAGTAACTTTTAAATTGTTTGTAATTTTAAGAGTAATAGGATTTCTGGTTCAACAAAGGAAAGATCTGCCCAGATCTGAATGCCTGGGCGTGCGAGGAGGCTGGGGAAGTCCCTGTTGTTTTCTAGCATTATCTGATGAGTGCATTGTCATTTCATAATTCCCGGAATTTGGCACATCGCAAGCCTGGGGTGAAGCAGGGAGCAGCTAACAGGCTACTGCTCATCACTCACATAACAACAATGGGTGTGTGGAAGGATGTTAAGATTATAAATCCTAAACACTCCAGAAGATCAAGATATTTCACTTATCTCTGCAGGTCCCAAAGGGAGAAATAAACTGGTAGATGTCTTTGAAAGGCTGCCTTGCCTCTGGATGCAGTGACAGTGAGAGACTGCGAGGCTTGCCTGAGCAAGGGGAGGTGCGTCCTGTAGAGTGTGAAAAACACGATTGCCTCATTGTTCTTGCAAGACCTTCCATTATTTTCAGTTTGTTTATTTGGTGAAGCTTTGCCAGGTTTTGAACAGAAATCTAGAATCGCCGCCGTGTCTGGGCTGTAGAATTCATTTGCAAAAGTACTTGGAGAAATTTTTTTTTTTTTTTTTTTCCCCCCTTTAAATGAAATGGGCTCCAATGCAACCACGTACATTAGTATTACCACTCGCATGGGTGGACTGTTGCGGGATGGCTGTTTGATTAAGAAGGATCTGTGAATTAGCCAGGGTAATTCCAGAACAAAGTTCTTCTCTTTCCTGCATTAACACTGTAAAGCTTTTAACAGGTTCTAACTAGTGCTGACAGTGCATGCTGCTAGGGAGCTCTTTGGAATCTCACTTGGTGATGACGGAAAGAGAATTGTATTTCTCTGTGTGTTCCTGGTAAATAAATAAGCAAAGAAGCAAAGCAAAATTGTTTTGAGCGAAGAAGTTGAGTTTTGCAAAGCCAGTTGTAAATAACCACCAAGCCAGAGTGTGCCTGCCAAGCTGCCTCTCCTCCCGCTGGGGCTGCTTCAATGTGTTTTCCTTCTCTGCCTTCCTGCAGGTCTCTTCCTTCCTGGAAATTCAGCAAAGAGTTAGCGTTCCCAGGCTGCCGGATCTCTTCCGTGTTAATGGATAATATTTGATATGTGCCCTGTAAATCCTGCCCTGGGACTCTGTGACCGGTGGGGTGCCTGATGCCTGTAATCCCCATTCCCCGCCGGGTCCGTTCGTTCCACGGCCCCCACACGACCTGCCTGCACTCGGCCTGTGGCCCGGTGAGGACCACTCACTTGGTGCGTACCAAGTACAACAATTTCGACATTTATCTCAAATCCCGATGGATGTATGGATTCATCCGTTTCCTGCTGTACTTCAGCTGCAGTCTGTTTACCTCCATCCTCTGGGTGGCACTCTCTATCTTGTTTTGCCTTCAGTACCTTGGCATCCGGATCTTTCTGCGTTTCCAGTACAAACTCTCCATCATCCTCCTCTTACTGGGGCGAAGGCGGGTAGACTTCAGCCTCATGAATGAACTGCTCATCTATGGAATTCATGTGACCATGCTGCTAGTGGGGGGGCTGGGATGGTGTTTCATGGTATTTGTGGATATGTAAATAAAACGCGCATGTGGGCTGAGAAGGTGACTTTTCTTCTACCCCAAAATGTGTCAATATCTTATTTTCTTTTTTTTTTTAATATATATAAATTAATTTATTTACCAGTGCTACTTTTTCTTGATAAAATAATGTACTTGTCTCTGGAATTTGTATTTTTTTGGAGGTGCCATTTTGATTATCGAAGGGCAACACTTCGGTGGTTTTTCTTTGCACAGTCCAAGTTAATATAAGTTTCTTCTAGTCATAGGAGCCTACCTTGCTGCTGTTCCTGTATTCCTATGGGCATGAAAAAGGCAGTGATTTATCTGGAGGACAGAAGCCAGATAACTTTGCACCCTGTGCTCTTAATCCATCCACCCTTTTTTTCTAAAAATGTTCCATAATGTCTCAGGATGTACTGTGTATCTTACTTGACCAGTGTTATCCTTTCTCTCTATATTTTGAATTTTGCGTATTCCCTGCTAAGAACAGGGGGCCGAATTCAATTCAATTCCCCCCGCAGTGGAAGGGGGGTTGCTGGTTTTTTTTTTCCTGTTTTGTTTTTAGGTTTTTGCAAGCCATGCTTTTGACCCACTATACTGTTCTGTTCACTTTAATGTAATTATATAGCTTTGAATGGCTTTGTGCTTTTCAGGCAGTTAGTGCTGAGTAATTGAGTCTTTCCCTAATAGAACAAATCCACTGGAGTGATGGGAGCAGAGTTTGGTGTCATGTGCTCTTGAAATTCCCACTCAAGGCAAATATGTTATCATTTTGCAATGATTCAGGGGAGCCCATTGCAGTGGTCTGTAGTGTTTAGACCTCGGGAGTTGGTTCTACTTTTCCCTGGATTGATTAGTTCCATTTCTTTCACAGAGGTACTTCTGTCTTACGGAGTATGGTAAGATGAGGCTGTCTTACCTAGGAGAGACTGAAAGCAGAGTACAATCTGAAATGGCAATAATTGTTCTCTGCAATTACAGAAAACATTCTCTCTCCTGCCTCGGCAGCAGTGAGTGGGGTCACTGGAGAGCTTTACTAACAGCTCAAGAAGGGAGTTAAGCGTTAAGCTCCGTTTTAGTGGTCTTGATTGAAAAATCTCAGACTGTTCCTCTGCAGTCAGTCAAGTAACTCTTTATTTATGGAGTCCGGAAGCTGACCTAAAGTTTATTTTTATTCTGGTTTTGATTGATTGTTTTTCCTTACAATGGAATACTTCTCTTTTCCCTGTGTTCTTTAAAGAACTGTTTAAAAACATGTTGAAAAAAATGATGGAGACCCTTTTTTCTTTTTTTCTCCTGCCCTGTAAAATCAATGGAGTTGATCATAACAGAATAAGCCAAGACTGGAAATACGTGACTGTTCTTTTATCATTTCTTTGGCCTGAGCTGTGAACGTGGTTGAGAAGAAAGCCTGTTTGCACACAGGGAAGGACGCTTCCCATTTCAGCTTGTGAGTATTGCAGTCCTTCGCTGACATCCTTTGATTTGTAGGCTTATGGATGCAAAATAGAGAAGCTTCGCTCTGAAGCGCAAAGCTAAAGCAAACCCAGAAATTATCTCATTATCAAGTGTTACAGATAACGCAGAGCTGAATAAATAACGAGCTATGGTGGTGTGAACTTTAGATTAGCCCCGCGAGGGCCAGAGACTGCTTCTGCAGGAAAAGATGTAGTGTCAGCATGTGTCACAAACCGGTGTCTGGAAGTTTCCTCCTAACTGTAGAGCTCCCCAGAGCCTTGTTCTGGGATCGTTCTCTGGGCTGCAGGTCCTCAGTGTCCCCCAGGTTCGAGCTGCAGCATTGCGCTGTAGGCAAAGGGAATTCCCAGTAATTCCCAACCCAGTGCTTTCCTCCCCAGTACAGCTGTCAGCCTGGGGCATTGCAGCTCTGGTGTGCAGACTGCGGGACTCCTGGGATAGCTGTGCTCAAGAATTTCTGCAGCAAACATGTTCCAGATGGCCAGCAAACAGCCCGGGCGTGAGCCGAGAGACCGGCTGGGCCGCCAGCGAGGCGCAGCCGTCCCCTGCCCTTGGCAGGAGGCACAGCCCGGAGCCTGCTTGGGTGGTAGCACCTCGTTTCACCTTAGAGTGGCTATTCCAGCGCTCAGAATAATGAATAAAAGGGTGATTTGGGGTACGCGTGGGCGCTGCTGCGCTCCCCACCCGTGCCTCCTTGAGCCGGTGGGTGCTCATCGTGACACTCGACTGCTCGACCAGCCCTGTGGGAGTTTGGTGGAGGCTCCGAAGGAAGGAAAGGTCTAGGCTGTGGCAGGGTTGTGAACTTCTCCAGTTCCAACCTGTTCTTTGAAAACCCACACAGGAGCAGGGTGACACGGTGAGCTTTGATGTGTGTGAGCTTGGAAACAGGAACACCGATCATGCGATTAACACATGAATAGCAGGTGGTTCTTCCAAGGCTAATTTGGTCAAGGAACAAAGGAGGCTGTGGGTACAAGGAGTCTCATACTTACCTTTTCCATCGCACGTAATTTGACTATGAGCCAACCACTTTATTCCATAAATATGACAGCCTGAGTGAGCTTTGTTTGAGCTCTCCCTGCTGAGCAGCTGGCCGTGTGACAGTGATCTCCCCTTGAGCTGGGATGCCTCTCGAGGTGAGACGCCCCTTACCCACCGCAGATCTTTGGTAAGTGAATAACCTTGCATCACGGGGCCTTAAAATCTTGTATTGGTAACTTTGGGTCCTTATTATATCCTCTGTGCAGTAAGGAATAGATTGAACCTTGCCTTCGGACTTTAAGCCTCGCTTTTACCACATCCGTCTTCAATAAACCGCTTTTGCTGCTGGTGGGTTTTTAAGCAGTCGGGATCCGCTCCGTGACGCTCCTGCAGTGGCAGTTGAACAGAGAAGAGCTTCTGCACTGCGGTTCATTACTGCACAGGCTTCCCCTCAGCCCTCTGCTTCCAGATTCAGTGGTGCGTACCAAGGGAAAAGTACGTGTCCTTATCAAATCACAAAAAGGTAATGTTTGCCAAGGGCCCAAACGTTTCTCGAGAGAGGCGTTGGGGCAGAGTTGCTTAGAAGCCAGTGGGAAGTGATTCCCCATTCCCCTTTTACAAAGGTTGCCAAGTCTCTGCTGTCAGAACACCCTGAATCTCAAGTTGGCAATTGCCCACAAAGATAGACGACCCCAAGATGAAATAATTGAGAAGGAGGCCTCGAAGGCGCTGCGAAGTTCAAAATATTCTCATCCTTGGTCATTCCCAGCACTTGGACACCTTGCAGTGCGCGGGTGGTGTGATCCTACCAGCATAGTGGGGGAAGTGAGGTCTCTTTGAAGTCATACTGGCAAGGAAGAGGAATTAATTTTCAGATGATTTGTTTTATGATGTAATAATTTGAACATTTTAGATCTACATGACTGGAGCAGTCTTTGGCAACTTTATGGCACTTTTCCTCTTCAAAGCATTTTCCAACTAGAGCTAATTAAACCTCACAACATCCCCAGGAGATTGCTGAATAAGTAAGAACTTGGTAGTGGTTCAGAATTTAAATTCACTGGTTTTAAATTTGAAATTTTTTTAAAAGCTTTTAGGATTACTCTGCCAAAATATTTTTTTTTCTCAAGCAGCTGAAATTCTAAAAGTTTCTTAAAAGCTCAAGGAGAGCCAAGCCACAATTGGAGGAGGGAGAAAGAGGCAGAAGAAATCTTAGATTAAGATTATGCAAATAATAACCTGGGGTTTTTTTTGCCTTTTAGTTTAATTGGAAAAAATGGCATTTTTAATAAAGGGGGGGGGGAAAACAAATTTTTTTGAATACAACAAATAAGGAAACAGTGGAAGCTGAACTTTTCAAGAGTCAAACATGGCATGTAATGGGATTTGCCAGAAATATTTCACTTTAATCAGGTACTTGCAAACTGTGCCCCACTGGTGAAGTTCATGTTCTTTGGGACTTTTTTTTTTTACTCTTTCCAAATTCATTGGTGCTGGGAGGGATGGATCAGGCTCCAAAATGTGTTAAGTCTTCTCTTCTGACTATATGGCTGGCCATAACTCTCAATCTTTTGAAATTTTCATTTCAGCATTCCTTCATACCAATTCCATCCCGAGTAAGGAGAGAAGCTGGTTTGTTCTGTGTCATGGTTTGGGGTTTTTTTTGGTGGTTTTTTTTTTTTTTTCTTTCCGTATTTGGGCTTTAAATATGACTATTTATTGGGTTAAAAATGGCCTCAAAAGTAATTAGAAAAATACTAGAAATCCTGCTCTGGGAGAGTGTGTCCATCCCAGACCCATGCCAGCCCCTCTGGAGAACTTCCCCTGTGGGTCCTGCTCGCTCCAGAGCTTTCCAGGTGTTTGGGCGACAGAGGCTCCGGCTGCGTTGCGGACTGAAGACTGGGAATGATGGTACGTGCGGTGGCAAAGCTGCCTTGGCCTGTTTTTTTAGGCTGTGAATGTATGAACGAGACTGAAGTGTTGGAGTTTCACCTTGTTAACTCTTCAGAACATGACACCAGCTGGTGTTTTGGGTGCCTGTTAAATTCTGTATGAAACATGCCACCTACATTAATTTTTTTTTTTTTTTAACATGTTGTTGGATTGATTGCTTGGGAAGAAAAAAGGAAGAATTTTGTCTTATGATGCTGGTATCGTTCTGATGTGGGGATGTCCCAGATCCTCTTCCTCTGTTTGCACTGGTGCAAATAGTCGGAGGGAGCGCGTGGTGGAGGAGAATCAGGCCCTCTGTGGTTATGCCTTGAAAGCATCGCTGAGAATCGGGTAAAACTCCTCTTTGTGGCTCCTTGGAGGATCATCCAGCGGTGATTTAGGGGAGCCAGGAGTGGAGTGCAGCCTTCTAGCTCCCAGGCTGTGACTCTAGCAAGCCCACTGTGTTGCCCACCGTGGGCGTTTGGGTGGCTGGAAGGAACTTCTCGTTGAGATGCACATCAATTAATTACAGGACGGTGCCGTCTTTCCTCTTTTCCTTGGGTGGAGCTGAGCTTGCAGGGCAGAGCTGTGTTGTTTCAGGACACAGATGTGGTAGTTCCCATGGGAATAAAGAGGACTGTACCTACTATGATGGGCTTTGTAATTCTGATTCTTACGTGGAAAGTATTACAGTGATGTGCAGCGGCGTAAGACCCTAAAATAGATGCTGGACAGGACTTGTCCTCCAGTGACTGGCAGGATTGGAGCCGGTGGAGGCAGAGGATTTGGAGAACCAGCATGGAGAGGACCGCTGCAGACCGAGCTGGAGGGGAACTGGAGAAATATTTGTGTGGATAGAGCAGCTCACATCCCCCTGCGAGTATGAAATGCTCCTTTCTATTATCCCGACTTAACAGCTGAAGAGTCACAGGGGAGGACTTGAAAGGAAGGGGAAGGAGGTTTCCAAAAGAGAGAAGGATTTGGGCAAGTGTGGGTATATTTTCACTTTCAGTATCGCATCGGAAACCGTGAGCAATGCTCCGAAACGTGGCTGGTGCTATTAGCGCGATGGCAGATGGCAAAGGTGCTTGAGTGCTCTGGAGTATTGGACTCAATGACAGTAAAAGGCTCAGGAATGTACTATATAAAGGTGCATTTTATGTTGTTAATGTTATTTATAAATCCATCTCCTGAGCCTTTGCCATCACCTGGGGAAGAACTTGTGTGCCCAGTTCCTGGAGTGAGGTTCTACCCCGGGCACCTCGCCGTGCCAGCGTACCTGGCCCAGGCTGGGAAGCCGAATGACCCGGTGGCCCCGCCTGGGGAATGGCTTTGGGGTTCCTCAGAGGCAGGTGCCATGCCCAGCCACCAAACTCAGCTTACCCCCAGAGTGTGCTCCAAAAGCTGAGCCCTTTGCTTCAGCCTGCACAGCTTTGTGTGGGGGCAGCATTGGCATTTTCCATAAAAGCAAGCTGGGGGCAGGTTCTGACCCAATCTTTAGGGGTATGTCCCAAAAGGGCACTGGGACCAGCCCCTTCCCCTAAAGGGCCTTACCGGGCTGAAAGCTCATTGTCATTCTTCCCAGGGTTCTCCTAAGTCGCTGATTTTGTTTCTTTTCCCTCCTGGGGAGGTAGGAGACAGCATTTACTACCAGTGGTGGAAAATAACACAGCACATTTACTTTCAGGAGCGGCTTTGACTATTCTGGAGCCTCTAGCACACACAGATAGCATGCTGTTCCAGTGAAGACGTTGCTGGAAAATATGAAGCCTTGTTATCTTTCTGCATTTTTATTTAGCCAAACAAGGTTTCCATAGCTCCTGGACAGCTCTGCTTCTTGGGGGGGGGGGGGGGGGGGGGAAAAAAAACCAACCCTCTCATTTCTTCACCTGCCAACTCTCTGCACTAATTTTGTCTTCCTGCTTCAAAGCAGTCATCGTGCCCAGAAAATGTCAGTTCAAAGGGAAGTTTTGTCCAGTAATGAGCCAGTGAAAATTGTTTAATGTAAGATCTTCTTGTGCAGCTATCAAAACGGTGCTTAGGTGAGAGCAGAGCTGGGCTGTCGGGGTCTGCTCTGAGCTCTCTGCTCGGGTGGCTTGAAATCAAGACTGTGCGTGTGCCGTGCTCCAGGGCATGTCTGCGTGCTGATTTACCATAGGAGTAGCTTTAAGTTAACAGAGATGAAAGGAGCATCCCCGCATCTCCCACATCTTAAGCAAAAAAAATCATCTACTGGGTGGAAAAAAAAAAAAAAGAAAAAAGCTCGTGTAATTTGCACCAGGGCTGTATAAACATGACAGTTCTCTGAGCTGATGCATGTCGGGTTTTGGAGAGCCTCTTCCCCCGCTGACCTCCACCCCGCTCTCTGCAGAGCGTGTGCTCCAAAAATGCGAGATGTTCCCCGGCTGGGTAAGTGTGTGAGAGGGAGCTGCTCGCCGCCGCGCTCAGCTCCTGCCAGCGCTCGGCCTTGTGACGGAGCCTGGGAGGGCCACATCCTGACCTTGGATGCACAAGCCTGTAGTAAATCAGAGTTACGAATACATCCAAAAGCCAACTTTCCCCTGCATGGAAAATACTGCATGTAACACCAAGAGACAAATACCAAAGTCCTTAGCTGGTTCCTTTTAAAAAAAAAAAAAAAAAAAAATCTCCCATTGGCCCCGGTGAGAGTTTTGCCTGAGTAAGGACATCAAGATTATGCATGCTAATTAAACGAACCACCCATCCCTTCAGAGTCTGCTCTCTGCTGGGAATTCCCCTCTGAGTAACTTGCTCCCAGTGAGGAAAGGAGTTGCATGAAAAATTTCCCAGATGGTGAATCTGTTAGAGAAAAATCACAATCTGTTTGTGGCTTTTTCAAACAAAAAAGAGCACAGGAGACGCTGCGGAATAAATTTGTTGTTGCAAACCATTTGCTCAGTAATGGGGAGAATTTAGATGGGCAAAGAGCTGGGTTTTTTTCGGAGGAGTCTTATCTCCCTGCCTCTAAAAATGAGCAACGATTTAAAATAAATAAATAAATAAATTAGAGCGATGTATATTTTAAAAGCCTAATACGTTTACTTTAATGATGCCTGTTCATTGATTCTGACATCAAGGGTGTCTGAAGCCGCCGGGGGACGGTGGCCTCGTCCATCGGAAGGAACAATGCTGCTGTGTGCTACGCCCGGCTTTGTGCGCCCGCCCGGCACAAAGGAGCCGTTTCGTACCGAGCCACCGTGTCCTGG